ATATATATGTGTGTGTGTATGTGTGTGTAGATTTGGAATATGGTTGAGCAAAGCAGAATGCATTTACAAGAGGGTCATCTATCAGTTATGTGGAAGGATACTACATTCAATTATTCATACTTTCTCTGGTTTGAAGACAACTCCGTATGTATGCAATTTTAATATATTTAAATATATTTAATTATAAATGTAAAATAAATATATAAATAAAGTCATTAATAGATTGTCTATTATTTATTAAATATTTTATAGATGAATTTTATGCATATTTAATAAAAATACATCCTAAAATATTTTATATTGATGTAGCATATAAAATATAATATATGGATATGCAAAAGTTAATGTATTTATATTATTAATGTATTAATTCTTTTTAATTTTTACACAGGGATGTTCACCACCAAAATGTAAAGTCTATCTTAATTATATCATGAAAAATTTTCCAATACCAGGTATACTTTGCGGAGATTATTACAGGTTGTACTATAAGCTATAATTTTTAATTAAAAATTTCTTTATTGCATACTGAGTTTTTTTATGTAAATATATTATTTAATATAATTATTATATAATTATAGTATATGAATATAATTATAATATATAATTATTATAATTTATCATTTATAATAAAAAATATTGAAGTAGTATTATATTAATAAAACATGTAATGCATCACGAAAGATTTAAACATTTAATTTATCTTTTGTACAGAAAACTAACTGAGACATGTTTTCCAAAACTTTCACCGGATAAAATACGCATCTACGAACTATACTGCGTGCATTTAGGACTAACTACATCAATTTGCGTCCTGGAACATTCTCGCAGATTGGCAGCCACTATCTGGGAAGTTATCGGAGTACCGAACAATCTTGCGGATATATTCTAAAACTGCATTCCTCGAGTAAAAATTTTTAATTGATTCTATGAAATTTTAACTTTTTATTCTCTAAATCTTCTGAATTTCAATATTTCTTATTTTTTTAACTTTGAATGTCCATATACTTTCCATAAATTTTGAATTTTCTTTTCGGAAGCTGAAGCTTGTTGCTTAATAGTATCTAATATCTAATACGTATTAAAAGACATTCGAATTTCTGTGATAAGTTCTAGATTCTTATATACTTCCACTATCTTTGGATACTTGTTTTTTATATTATTTTTCTTTTTTTCTTTCGTTAATTTTTATAAGATCATTTTTATCAAAATTTTCAAAAAATACAATAAAAGTGCTTAATTCCAAATATATCTCATTCTAAATTTAATATTTTCATATTAATCGATATAAAATAATACCATCAATAATGACGACAAACGGGAAACTTTTATTTATTTAAAATTGTTGCTTATTGTTGTAATGAATAGGTCTAGTTCCATTTGATCAATTAGAATATTCTTAGTTTTATTATTTATTGTTATTAGTTGTTTTATTTATACAACACAAAATGAAATAACAATCATTTTGCGCTTTTTATTTACAAAAATCTTTAGTAATCAATGTATACTAACTGAAAACTTACATATTTTATAATGAAGCATCTTCAACTTTATACAGATATTTAATGGCACAATAAACAATATAAAGCAAATGACAAACATAAAACATAAAATAAAAAAAAATGTGTAATTAATCTTTTGTTAAACCTTTAATTAAGTTTTCTCGAATTTTTTACGAAATTTAAGGCACCTATAAATAGAATTGATATGAAAAACTGTTTTTTATCGCCGAGTAAATATATTCTTATCTCAAGAAATTCTAACACAGTTTCTTCTTAATTCTTCTGAAATTTTTTCTTCCTTTTTAATATTATGGTTTTTTTCAATTTTTTTCGATTCTGCGTTTTTGTAACATTAGAATTTCTTCTTTTTTTCCTTATATTCTTTCAAATTTTTGAATATTTGGTTGAAAGAGTTTCTAAAAATCGATTTTTCCAGAATATTTGATTTCTCCATTTAAATATCTAATGACGCTATCGTGTTGGATTTATCCAGATTTGTCTTTTTTGTTACCTGGCTGTAAGACCTAGGATAAAATAAGTACTGTTGGGATGAACAATAATTACTCTATATTAATGCCATTTCATTATCTATTATCTATTTTTTATCAAAATTTAACCCTTTTGCTACGATCAAATTTCGATTATGAATGCGATCGCATTATAACCGGAATGCACGTATATTCTTATATGTGCTTGCATATGTGCATATGTGTGTGCACATGAGCATATGTATATATGTATATGATGATTCGTTTTAATCTTAATATTTTAACATTTCTAGTGTTGCAAAAGATGCAAAATGGCTTCCTTTTGCAATATTTGATTATTAAAATTAAAATCATTTATCTTGTGTATATTGCAAGAGTTATTAACATAAACATTACTAAACAAAAATAAAAAAGCTATGTTTATATAAGCACAATATTACTATTAACTATAACTTTCCGAGTAAAACAGAAAAAAAACGCAATGAATAGCAATATCTATTAAATAAATAATTATAATAATATACATATAATAACAACAATAATAATAACAATAATAGTAATAGTAGTAACAATAATAATAGTAGTAGTAG